GATTAAGAATTTAGGCCCTTAATAGACCCCTAGAAGCTTTAATGGCACGTGACCTTCATAGCTTATAGCTGGGTAAGGCCGTAAAACTTGAATAAATAAATAAAATAAACAAATAATTATTAGTTATCTTTAAGAAAGTTCTATATATCACTGCTTAACACAGCCAGTGACAAATACAGTGGGTCCAAGTATGTGACAGTGGGGAGTATAAGTAAGAAATAAATGTCCCTACTCTAGTTTGCCTAGCACAGCGCTAACGTTTGTTAGCAAAATTAAATGCGCCTACTAGTACGGGCATTTTGCATTCATGATAGACTTGACACCTAGAATACTGTGTATAAATATAGGCTTGTTGTATGTTCTTAGTTAATTCTATTAGTCAAGTGTCGTCTTCGTTCAAAATACATCTCTGTGTTCACAGACCACAGTTCGTGCCGTAACCTCATCGCTATGTCGATTCGAGATACATTCCGAATCCAACGCAGTAAACCTGTTGTAGCGCTCCATGAAGGCGTTGTCCTGCTCTAGCTCCTGAAAAATATCCGTATCTGTTGGAAAAAACGCCTTTCTCAATGTGCTGATGCTAAGCTCATACATATATACGCAAATGATAATGAAAATCAAAGTCAACCACCACGTCGGATTTTGTCCGAAACCTGTAAAGAAGCTTCTTCGTACACGGTAAGCTGTCATGAGGGGATAGGCTGAAGCAAATATGAGATTCCAAAGGAAAGGCGCCCCGACACTCAAAAACATAGTGATGGCTGCTACAATCGACTTATTGTGCATCTCGAGTACTAGAAGCTTCAGACTGACAATAATGACGACCGCGACGAAGTTAAGATCACCCATCGAGAACAGGGTGTTATCTTTTGTAGTTTCTGCACACCCAAAGAGAATGAACATAGAGAAAAACACAATACACGATTCGGAGACCGCCATAGCAGTCCACCCGAGATAGATCCAAATGTTGAAGCCACCGTTTCTCTGGCCCATTGATATGTATAGCTCGGGCACAGCTAGAAGCGTGGAGGCTGCAAGATCTTTGTCGAAGACCCCAATGCACATGACGGATAGCGATGTGAAGAGGGTGTTGAACTGTGTCGCACTCAAAGGCTCATACAGACTCGTACCAGTATATCCAACCCACCGTTGGAAGAGAGATTGACTCAAATAGAATACGACCTCTTTCCATAGCGTGCCCAGAGTGTACTTGCATGTCCGGACATAATTCCACCTTCCGTGAACCAAAAGAAGCTTCGGCAGAAATCTGAATTGCGCAATGGAGTAATCGGAATTGCGGGCTGCCTGGAAACCCTCTTTTCCTGTAATACCAATGCCTACGTGAGCTTCTTGGATCATTGCTATGTCGTTTGCGCCGTCACCTACAGCCAAAGTAACTGCGTTGGGCATTCGAATTTTCATCCCGCGCACCACCTGCGCTTTTTGGCTGGGTTGAGTACGACAGCAGATAACAGAGTCCGCTAAAACCACCAAGTCAAAGAATCTTGCTTTTAGAGATCCAATGGATTCGTTGAAAATGGTTGTCAGAGTTTGACCGTCAATAACAACTACGCCGTGTTCAACTGATTTGAGAGACGAAATGTGGGACTCAACCACTTTCACCATATTGCCAGATTGATTGTCATCAGAGAGATCCAATATCGTGGAATTCTCTTTTATAAGACCACAAGAATGGCCGATGTTGACCGCAGTTTCTCGTTTATCGCCAGTCAGCATCCAAACTTTGATATTGGCACGGAGGAGCTTGTCGATTGAACCCAGCACACCGCACTGCAGCTTATCTTCAACGGCAGTTGCGCCAGCAAGCTCGAAGTTGACCTCAATGAGATCTGCCACCCTTTCTGTGATCTCTTCTTTCTCGTCAAGACTTGCGGCAGCTGCATCCCACTTCACTCTCCACTCTTCGTATTCTGCCTTGTCGAGAAAGCGATACGCATATAGAAGAGTGCGGAGGCTTTCGTTCGCAAATCTGGTGACGCTCGAAACACAATTCTCAAGATCAAATTGGCCATCTCCATCCGGTACTGCCGCTATATTACCACCTTGGTCGGCTTTCTCCCCTTGCCTTTGAGATCGAACACTGGTCTTCGTAGTGGATTTCGACAATCTCAGTCGCTCAATGACAACAGATTCGGCACCTTTGCAGATGATACATATTCTGCCATTGGGGAATCTCACGATAACTGACATACGTCTCCTATTATTCGAAAAGTCGATAACGTTCAGAACCTTGTAAGTCTCAGTTCTAATGGATGTATCTTTTGAGGTGGAGAGCGATAAAATAATGGTGTCGTGATCGCGGCTGCACATAAAAACTCCCATAGCCTGGGCGGCTCTGATCAATGCAAGCTCATCCGGAGATGATGACTGAAAGTCTATAGTAATGCCATCTTGTGAGATCCCTAGAACACAGCTATGACAAAGTGCCATACAAACCAACATCAACATCGCTTTTTGCCCAAATGCAGAGTTTGGCTTTTCTGACAAGTGTCTCATCAATTCTTTCGTGCTCCTCTCGGACCCTGATCGCTGTTCTGAAATGGGATTAAACAGTTTTGGCCGTTCCGCCGCTCGAGCGTGGTCTTGATCGAGATCTCCCGCATCTTCGTGAGCCCAAATGCCTCCAGCAACGTACATCTTCCGGAATTTCATCTCGTTGTCGGTCAGCGTTCCGGTCTTATCGGAAAAGATATGCGTAATCTGTCCTAGCTCCTCATTGATGGTTGACGTTCTGGCTTCGCAAGGCATGTTTGACGATTCATCGTACATGTCGAGGTCCGAGCTGAGGAAGAAGATCTGTGCAAGCTTGATCATTTCCATGCTGATGTATAACGAAAGGGGTACCATTGTAGCAAACATAATAAGGAAACCAAAAATCGACTCATGAGTTGGGACAGTCGCGCTAGAAAGATAAAATAGCTTGTTTTCGATGTCAGATTTCCAGGTTTGATATGCAAGGGTATTAAACAATGATACCCCAAGCACAAATAATGCCATAACAAAAACGATCTTGTTGACCATGAATTGTAGGCGGGGAGCTTTTATGTGAGCCTGTCCATCGCCATTCGCATTCAACCGTATCTTACATTCTTGTCCGGAATACACAACCATTGCGGTTGCTTCGGAGATGTTTCGCAGAACGCTGCCTCGATATACAACATTGTCATTGTTCAATGGCGAATCTTGGTCATTGACAGTTACCCTGCCTTTAAACCTGGAGAGGTCTGGATGTGGATCTTCGATGATGAACTTGACTGAACAGTTGACAAGTTTGGCAGGCGTAGCGCATGCCTCAGCTACGGCCTTGTCCACCCTCTTTATCTTGAGGCTAGTTTCCCCATCCAAAGCTATGGTCTCGACATGAGCGACATTGCTCCCTCCACAACTTGTTGAACTCAATAGCACAATATCTGCCGGCACTGCCTCGTCGCGCTGGAGCTTGATGATATCCCCAAATACCAGTGAACGCCATTGTGTCTTCCGCCAATTTAAGCTCCCAGATATTACTGGAGTCCTCTTGTCGAGTGACAGAACCACCTGGCGGTTCTCTTGGCTGTCCAATCGATGTCTTCTGTAATCATCAAATCCTTCCTTTGCCATAGAGATGCTAACAAAAATCATCAAGGGTATGATATTCGTCTTCTTTCCAACTGTACTGAGTCCGGGAATGACTTGCAAGAGCGCAAAACAAAGAAAGTAGAAATTTGCAAGCTTGGAAAATTGAGCGAAGAGTTGCCTAGGCAGAAACGTCAACGGGGTATATCTATTAGACCGTATCCAGTTCTTTACGAATGGTCTACCGGTCCGTTCATCAACCAGCGGCGTTGTTTGAAAGGCGTTGATTTCAACATGTCTAAAACCTTTAGTGCGAGCTTGCCCTCTTGAGTAGGATGATATCTTGACTTGTGCCCAGAATTTTCTTAGGGCCGAAATCGGATTCGAGCTGTTGGGTAGGTTTTGGACGTAAGAAAACAGTGCGCCCTGCTGAGCCTCATTCTGCAGTAAGGGTAGTTGAATATCCGATGAAGAGTCCGAGCTTCGACGAGAAACAGATGAGAGCTACAGCATTCAACTTCATTAGATTCGATCCTCGCCTATACAGTGCTCTGGATCCTTACCTGGATAGTGCTCCCTAACGGTAGAGAAATCAAAGAACTTGACATTATCTCTGAATTAGTTTTACCAACTGCAAATATTCACGGCTTTTGTTTGCTCTGAATCTAGACGTGAATCTGCGGCTGAGGCAGTATAATTCTCGGTCTTCACAGTGATGCACAGAAGCCAGAGCATCCAGTACCCTTTGCAACGAATCAATGGGAAAAGGAATCGTACAACAGGCAACAACATACAGAAGCTAGACTCAGATATAGTGGGTTAGCGCAATAACATGCTTGATTGATTGATTGACTGATTGATTGATTCATTTATTCACACATGCAAGCCCTATTGGCCGGCAGAGCCATCTAATTGGGCAGAGGCTGTCTGCCAATAGAAAAGAATCGGACACAGAGGTAACCCGCTGTCTGCTCCTCTGTAGTGAGCTCCGTGAAACCGTGGTAGCGCTAGGCCCAATATAGGATTTTTTTTGCGATATTCTTGCTGATCCCCGCTTAACCAATGATGAGGCCCCATCGCAAACCCTATACCTAATAGAGTTTAATACAGTGCTCCTCGAATTCTAACCGAATCTATTTATATCTACATGTTGAAAATGAAGCAACCTAACCGAGTTCAGATAAGCGCAAACCCTTTAGAAATTTAGATTATCGAAGATGACAAATACCGCTTTAGATCAATTTACCCCTGAAGACAAATTATCATGTAGATTTGCATATAAATTATACTAGATAGGCGAGTTGGGGTTAATGTTGAGCTTTGTGGCAGACTAGTGCCTTTATTAAGCAACTAGAAAAATAGAAACAAATTCAAGTTGATTAAAAATATAAGCCTAAGTTTCTTATAATTTCTTTATCTATATTATAATTTATCTTTACAGCCAAACAAATGACATTCACGCGTCATTTTGTGTCAATTATGTAGGTGTATTCGTTTCCGTGTCCGTCGTATATACCACGTTCACATCCAAATAGACTTATCCCCTTCCATCCCCATTGAGATCTCTCTGTCATTCCTATCAAGCTTAACTGGACACTACCTAAAAAGCATACCCATACTACTCCTGTGAGTGTTCCCGTTCAACGGCTGCAGCAGACGTAGAGGGGGTTGGTAAGGGAGTCCTTGGTGCAGCCCACGCCTTGAGTGAAATACAAAGCATTTCATACGCCATGACAAGTGCGCTGAAGCCCATCCCGATGGTGAAGACGAATATAGCGTTCAATTCGACGTATTCCATCGCTACGATGATGTCTTTTGTCTGTATTCATAAACTGCGTTAGCAAATCTGCACTTTTCACCTTCAACCCGCCTCTGCTTTCTTTCCCCCTCTTCTGGAAGGGTTAGAGGTTGGAGAGTTCAAGTGTTTAAAAATGGGGCTGATTGCATCTATGCATCTACAACATATGGAATGAAAAGGGATGGACATACACTTAGCATAAAAATCAACCCCCCTGCAATCAAACAAAAGCTAGCCACGAGCTCACTAGGTGGCCGATACGGCAGCAAACTCTCTGGCGGCCGCACACAAAGAACAAGGTATGTGACTATTCTTGCAATTGCAAAACCGCAGAGAAGCATACCCCATTGAGCATGCACCACGATCTAGACCATGCTTGCCTGATGGTGTGAGGACATCATTAAGCCGAGAAGCATGATTATCAAGAGGGGCATGGGGTTGAGCGAGATGCGCTGAGTTGGTGGTTGGGCGTAGGTTTGCGGGGAGTATTGTTGCGTCAGGACTGTTGGACTGTGGTATATTCCTGTGTTGATCCAGGTGTGGACTCCTTGTGATTCAATGAGCATGCCACACTGTCAAATTAACGCACTGTTAGTCCAATCTGTATTGTAGATCGGGAAGGAAGTGGTAACTGGTGACAGTGGTGTATGCAGTGAAGCAAAGAATAGAAGTAAATGGGCCCTTACAAGTCCACCGCCAAAGAACAAAATAGATATAGAGACATGTTCCAAATCCTACGCAACCACGTGTGTCCCCAAGCAGACAGATGCTCGAGTAAAACGTCAGTTACACCATACAAAAATATGACGAAGGACTCGGTGAACTCGCCCGAAGGAGCGTGTGCAGCCCATTCGCCGACCACGGAGCGCGACGGTTTGATGTTCCACGCCCAGCCAAAATCGGCGAAACTGCCCATCCACCGGCCGCAGGTTAAAATGCCATACCAGAAGAATATGCCACCTTTGATGAAATGTGCTAGGCCATTAAATACGTTGCTTCCGCGCTGGAAAACACATGCATATTAGTCATACCCCACGCAAACAGATAAAAAGCGGGGGAAAACGGAGTAAGCAATGTCATATAAGGGCAGGGCAGAAAAGGTGGTTAATACTATAATGCCACCATAAGTGACAGCACCCGTGGCAATAGCAATAAACCTAAACAGCATTATCATCCTCTCAATCACAACATAAATCACACCCAGTGCGCCCATCATACGTCGGGATATCAAACCCAGCACAAGAGCAGACAAGAAACTATCGACCCGCGCCAACCGCAGCAACTGGCCAAGACAACCATCGATAGGATCATCACCGATCTTCTCTGCGTAATCTTCATCGTCGTCATCCACATAAGGCGATAGTCGAAGGCCACCACTCTCGAGAAACGTCTGTCGACTGTGCAATGTTGACCACATAGGTTCAGTGCCCTGCCCACTATCACAGGACCAACAGTAAATTCGGCTAGAATCCTGATCGTCTGCAGGCTCAGACACAGCAACAGGCAAGAAAGCAGTATTTTCATACGCATTGCCAGAGTCGAGACTACGGGTGTTACTGGGTTTGTTACGGTCCGAGTACGTGAACAGCAAGCCCATGACGACTTCAGCACACATGGCCTATGTTCCGATCCAGCCAATGCTGTGGTGCATATTGTTCGGGTACAAATATAGCGTAGAAGCGTTGTAGATGACGCCTAGTAACAAGCCAAAGACGTTGATTACCAGGAAGAGAAATTGCACAAGGAGCGCTAGCCGCGAGCGGGTGATGCTATGCATGGCGCCTGTTCTAGTCAGTATACCTTTGATTCATATACGGACAAGTCTGAACAAGTTTACCCCGACAGGTAACATATTAGAGTAATACATATACGTGAAGATATCTGTGGTTTAATCAGGTGGTAGAACATGACAATGGGCAAAAAAAAGAACCACGCAATAACCTCCCGCGCAATATGGCCGAGATTGACACAGGTATGTTGACCATGTGCGAAGTAGCTCTCAGGCCAATCAGCCGCATCAATAGTGGCGCCTACGTCAGGGTTGTGTTCGAAGGAGTTGTTGTTTCCATGGTCCATATCCATATTCATGTCTCCGCGGCCATGGCTGATAGCTTTGTCGTCGCCGTGCGCTAGGGCTACTGTCGTCAGCGCAAGCAGCGGGAAGGCAGCCGCGCGGAGAAAGGCGGCCTGGCGCAGTACGGCGGAATGGAGGAGAGGGAATGCAAACAACCTTGGATGAGTTGAGAACAGTACCGTAGGATATAAGTATAATAAGGCAATCAGCTAGACGTGTAGGAGATGAATATAGAAAGAAGAGAGAAGAAGAGGAGGAAAATTGGGGGAAATTAATAATAAATACAGCTGAAGGCCAAAAAAATGATTTGACGGGATCCTTCAGCAATCACAGCTCTGACCATCTTACTTACAGTCAATTCATCTAATTCATTCCTGCTCTAGGGAACCGTCTTGGGACGTCTTGAGGCCACGCGTCAACATATCCAGATGATATGTCTCTTGATTAGAACTTTAACAGCTCATATTTAATTATATATATGAATTGAAAGCTAAATTATAATAGCTTGATAAGTAAATTCACCCATGGTTATGGGGTTGTAGATGTAAAATGTATGTAGATCGTATCGATCTAGACGCAGGCAGATTCGCTTAGGATTGGAGGCGCACTGCATTAGGCTCTATTGGGTATGGGGTTTGCGATGGGGCCTTATCATTGGCCTGTGGCTGCGCAGTGGAACCTGTACATAATCCAGCTCCCCCCAGTCAGCTCATGATTTCACCATCGCAAGTGAAGTATCCCTTTTGGCATCGCCGCTATCGCCATGGTTAACCGCGGACGCTCCAAAGGGTGCGTTACGTGCAAACAACGACGCGTCAAATGTGACCAAGCGAAACCCAAATGCCGGACATGCCATCGTCTAGGACTTCAATGTGAGGGCTACCAGACAAGATATAGCAACCTAAAGTTCAAAGACCAGAATTACAAGTTTTGCAACGAAAGCACTAGCTCCAGAGCCACTCGCGACAAGAATCAGGTGTCTAGTCCACGAGCGTTAGCCGAACCAGACACCTCAGTGTCTTTCTTTCTTCAGTACTACGCCGGCATGGGCCGGAGTTTGGGGTCCGCCCGCGGGTTTTTCGAGGTCCTCATCCCAGTGTATTGTTCTCAGACACAAGATTCGCCTCTCATATTGGCTGTGTCAGCCGTAGCTTCTAAAATACTGTCTCTATGGCGACATGATCGCTGCCAGGATTCACGAGAGAAATATACTCAGGCCGTCAAATGTCTTCGGAGTACGTTAAAGGATCACAATGAATGGGAGAAGCCGGCAACTATATCAGCTGTGTTGTCACTGCAGTTATATGAGAACATTGCCACTATCTTCGGCCTTCACTCTGGAACATCCATACACCACAATGGCGCATTGTCTTTGCTCCCATTTGCAAGTTCTGATAAAGCCGACTGCGTTACCCACATTCTTCTTCGGAGGTTTATTCTTCATTCCGAGATTTGCTCTGCGATGCGCCAAGAAAGGCCATTGCAAGATACTGCATACTCCTGGGTCAAGGGCAAGGATTTGATAGTATCCGCAGATAACCCAAGCTCTAGACTTGATGCCATAGGGGCTACTGTTGCCGAGTTACAAGCTAGTTATATGCAGTCCGCAACACGGCACGGTTCTATCACTTCTTCGCAGAAAGCTCCAAGAGATTGGCGGATCGAGGCAAAACGCCTAGACGACCGATTACTGGCCTGGTCAAGAAAGGTTCCAGACCATTGGCAGCCGCTGAAGCTCAGAAGTGGACAGGACGTCGATTCTTCAATCCCAACCTATCGATCCCTTTGCGAGGTCTATCCTACGTGCCAGATTGGAACGATTTGGAACCTATGGCGCGTTCAACGTCTCTTGCTTCTTAGGATCATCCTCAGCTCATATGCAATTCCAGATCCATGGAAATTCGATGATCGAGCCGATGAAGTATCTGCTAGTGATGAACATCTGGGAGAGTATGTTCATACTCTCCAGGAACTAGTGGATTCTGTGTGCCACAGCGTACCCTTTTATCTCGGTAATCGATCCAATCCTCTCAATCTTGCCGACTTTGGCGACACAGGAATATTACTTCCAAGCTCTCACTCCCTAGCCGTTGAGGATGAAGGAGTCTTTGACATGCAAGGTAAGAAGGGCCAAACATCAAGAGAAGATTACAGACGCCACATCATTGCTCAAGGGCCATGGCATATTATGAGCCCGCTGAGTCGCTTGTTGACGCTCTTCTCAGAAGGCCATGGTCAGTATTTGGCGAGCTTTCTCAGGCCGGGACAACATGAGTGGATCCGCGAACAATTCTTGCGTGTCACCCTTTTGCTTCGGATTCCACTACCAGGGACTAGTGGCATAAAGAGATTATATACCTTTGCAAAATCGCCCGGCCAAGAACCCACAGATTCAGAAATCGAGTATCTGGCGAAGGAAGTCCGAAAAGGTGCAATATTTATGAGTGGACCTTAGACTCGATAAGACCACTAGAACCCAACTTTTATATGCTCTATTTGCTTTACTTGGTATCTTCTCTCGCTATAATCCGATGTCCGGGTTGACGAAGACAGAATCACATCCTGCATTTCTTCTCCGCTCAATCCCTCTCTGTAGATGATTAAGCCATTTGATAATACTCTTGTCGGCCTCAAGCATCCAGCTAATCGACCAACTTTTTCATATGGTGTTCATGCTGATCTGACAATCGAGGCCTTAAGCTTGAGATGGACCTTTCAATATTCATCATTTTGGTGTCTTGTTATCGAGAAGACTAAGCTTATAGAATTATATTACAGACAAGAATTGAAGCTTTTGTGTGTAAGCAGATGTATCAAAAATTATGGAGGTGCAGGATGCAAACAATACAAACATAAAAATAACATTCAGAAGGTTTGAAGGTCCGAGAACTAAATACATAAAAACAATAGCAAATTTATACTCAAAACATGTGTAACTGTGCTCGCTGGATTATCTAAATATTTAATTCTATATTTTATTTATTTAAAATCTAAAATCTAAAACTTTTTATATTTTATATTTCTTTTAATTTTTTAACTGATTCTTGATTAATTTAATTATTATAAAGATATTAATAGTAACAATTTATTTATATAAAAGATTGAATAAATCTTATACCAGACTAATAAATCCAATTTATAAATAATTAAAATATTATCTATTTTTAAAGTCTATTTATAGATAGAATCTATCATTAATAAAGAGTACGAATAATCTAATTATATTATAAAGATAATTATTTATTATAAATTCTATTAGATATGATTAAATATATTAATTATCTTATAATTAATTCATAAAGCTTTATAAATAAACTTTTAAGATCTTATTTATGTGAGACGGTTAGGGTGTCATTTGGTTCGGTTCGGACCAAACCAAAACCGATCTGAAATCCAAATGGTCCAGTTCTAGTCCTATATATAGTGAACCGATGTGGTTTAATTAGGCTGTCATTTGGTTCGGTTCGAACCGAACCAAAACCGATCTGAAACCCGAATGGTCCGGTTCTGGTTCTATATACAGTGAACCGATGTGGTTCAGTTCATCAAGTCCAGGACCATATGGTTTTTTGGGGCCCATTTGGGTCTGATTCAGTTTGGATTTTCGGTTCAGTTTTATCTGAATATCTAAATACTAGTGGATTTCCATTAATAATACTAAAATATTTAAGATTAACCTTAATCCTTTATAATTATTATTAATTATATAATCATTTCTGAAGCAATTTTTTATAAATTGAATTCTTATTTTTTGAATTAGGACTTTATTTTAAATATTTTTATAAATATTATAATAAATTCTTAATATTTAAATTATAATCTAAGAATTATCCAAATAGTAATAATATCTTTTCTATTTTTTATTTATATTTTTTGAATTATATTATATAGAAGAAAATATATATATATATTTCTATATCTATTCTATAATATTCACTATTATCTATCTATTTTTTCAGTATATTTCAATAATTAGATAGAAAATTATAATTTAAATAATTAATTCTAATTTTTATATTATTTATCTACCTAATTCATTAAAATTTAGAGAGATTTTAATATATTTTTAGAGATAAAATCTAACTATAGTTAAAAATTCTTTAATATAGTTTAGTTATCTAAATGAAAATTAGACCAAACTTAGACTGATCTAACCATAATTAGTAATTCTTCTTTAGCATGGTTCGGTTTCAGTTTAGAGAGCTAGAACTATTCAGTTTTCGGTTCTGGTTCCAATATTAGGGACTAAACCGAACCAACCCACTTTTGGGTTTGGTTCAGAAACTCAGGACCAGAACCGAACCAAATGACAGCCTAGGTTTAATTCACCAAGTCCAGGACTATATGGTTTTTTAGGGCCTATTTAGGTCTGGTTTAGTTTGAGTTTTCGATTCAGTTTTATCTAAATATCTGAATACTAGTGGATTACTATTAATAATATTAATAAATTTAGAGTTAATTCTAATTCTTTATAATTTTTATTAATTAAATAATTATTTTTAAAGCAGCTTTTTATGAGTTAAATTCTTATTTTTTTGAATTAAAATTTTATTTTAGATATTTTTATAAATATTATAATAAATTCTTAATATCTAGATTATAATTTAGAAATTATCTAGATAATAATAATATCTTTTTTATTTTTTATTTATATTTTTTGAATTATATTGTATAGCTAATCTATTTATTAAAAAAATATATATATATATATTTCTATATCTATTCTATAATATTTATTATTATCTATTTAATTTTTAGTATATCTTAATAATTAGATAGAAAATTATAATTTAAATAATTAATTATAATTTTTATATTATTTATCTATCTAATTCACTAAAATTTAACTATAGTTAAAAATTCTTTTATATAGTTCGATTATCTAAATAAAAACTAGATTAGATTCGCATTAATCTAATCATAATTAGTAATTCTTTTTTAGCGTGATTTAGTTTCGGTTTAGAGAGCTAGAACCTGTCACAAGAGTAGGCTGTCATTTGGTTCGGTTCGAACCGAACCAAAACCGATCTGAAACCCGAATGGTCCGGTTCTGGTCCTATATACAGTGAACTGATGTGGTTCGGTTCACCAAGTCCAGGACCATATGGTTTTTTGGGGCCCATTTGGGTCTGGTTCAGTTTGGGTTTTCGGTTTGGTTTTATCTGAATATCTGAATACTAGTGGATTTCCATTAATAATACTAAAACATTTAAGGCTAACCCTAATTCTTTATAATTATTATTGATTATATAATCATTTCCGAAACAGCTTGTCATGAATTGAATTCTTATTTTTTAAATTAGGATTTTATTTTGAATATTTTTATAAATATTATAATAAATTCTTAATATTTAGATTATAATCTAAGAATTATCTGGATGGCGATAATATCTTTTCTATTTTTTATTTATATTTTTTAGATTATGTTGTACGGCCAATCTCTCTATTAGAGAAAAAAAATATATATTTCTATACCTAGGCTGTCATTTGGTTCGGTTCTGGTCCTGAGTTTCTGGACCAAACCCAAAAGTGGGTCGGTTCGGTTTGGTCCTTATTATTGGAACTAGAACCGAAAACCGAACGGTTCTAGCTCTTTGAACTGAAACCGAACCACGCTAAAGAAGAATTACTAATTATAATTAGATTGGTCTGAGTCTGATCCGGTTTTCATTCAGATAACCGAACCGTATAAAAGAATTTTTAACTATAGTTAGATTTTATTCTTAAAAATATATTAAAATCTCTCTAAATTTTAATGAATTAGATAGATAAATAATATAAAAATTAAAATTAATTATTTAAATTATAATTATTCATCTGATTATTGAGATAGGCTAAAAAATAGATAGGTAATGGTGAATACCATAGAACGGGTATAGAAATATATATATATATTTTCTCTGATAGATAGATCAGCCGTACAACATAATCCGAAAAATATAAATAAAAAGTAGAAAAGATATTATCGCCATCCGGATAATTCCTAGATTATAATCTAAATATTAAGAATTTATTATAATATTTATAAAAATATTCAAAACAAAGTCCTAATTCAAAAAATAAGAATTCAACTCATGAAAAGCTGCTTCAGAAATGATTATCTAATCAATAAAAACTATAAAGAATTAGGGTTAACCCTAAATTATTAGTATTATTAATGGTAATCCACTAGTATTCAGATATTCAGATAAAACCGAACCGAAAACCCAAACCGAACCAGACCCAAATAGGCCCCAAAAAACCATATGGTCCTGGACTTGGTGAACCGAACCACATCGGTTCACTGTATATAGGACCAGAACCAGACCATTCGGGTTTCAGATCGGTTTTGGTTCGGTCCGAACCGAACCAAATGACAGCCTATCTATACCCGTTCTATGGTATAATTGGTATTCATCATTACCTATCTATTTTTTGAGTATATTTCAATAATTAGATAAAAAATTATAATTTAAATAATTAATTCTAATTTTTATATTATTTATCTATTAAATTCACTAAAATTTAGAAAGATTTTAATATATTTTTAAGGATAAAATCTAACTATAGTTAAAAATTCTTTGATACGGTTCAATTATCTGAATGAAAACCGGATCAGACTCGCACCGATCTAACCATAATTAGTAATTCTTTTTTAGCATGGTTCGGTTTCGGTTTGGAGAGCCAGAACCGTTCGGTTTTCGGTTCTAGTTCCAATATTAAAGACCAAACCGAACCGACCCACTTTTGGGTTTGGTCCAGAAACTCAGGACCAGAACCGAACCAAATGACAGCCTACACAAGAGTCGATAAATCACAGCCAATGAATGTTATAGCGGACGCTATTACATAAGCATCCAATAAGATTGTATATATACACCATATATATGTCAAAACGTACTGTAAATAACCCTAAGAGATCGGAGAGAGTCACTCAGGATATTCTGCTAACGTAGTGAAGAAGCTTATAAGCAATGTTTTGAGAAGGCTATTTTATTATAAGATAAGAATAGTAAAGTAAGTCGTTATAATATTAATAGTAGTATGCTATTCAAGTATAAATATAAAATATGATCAACTAAATATATAGTGGTAAATGAGTGTCTATATATATTAAAGGATATTGAAGCACATGTTTTAATATCTAGAACTGCCTGCTTTTATACTTAGAATTGCTCGCTTCTATGTCTAGAAGTATTTACTTTGTTGAGTCACGTGCTGCGGCATATGCTGGAATAAGGTATCAATTCACAATGCCAAATATTATTGTACCAATAGTTGTGGTTAGGTGAAAGTATAGCCGCTTTTAGCCTTGCGTCTATAATACTTAATTATACTGTATAATAATTGTGCTCGCTGCTGCTCACTGAGCGGTCTCTACTTGGTGCCCGTTCTGTGCACATATTATATGTATATATAGTACCTATGTACTTTCTCATTGGCTGCTTATGTAATAGCGTCTGCTATAACATTCATTGGTCGTGGTTTATCGATTCTTGTGACAACGAGTTGTTGACAACTTTTGACAGAACCGTTCAGTTTTCAATTCTGGTTCCAATATTAAGAATCAAACCGAACCAATCCACTTTTGGGTTTGGTTCAGAAACTCAGGACCAGAACCGAACCAAATGACAGCCTATGTCAGAGTTCCAGAGTGAGAGATTAAAAATAGGAGTCTATTCATTAACAAGACGAACTCTAAAGAACTAAATCTAAGCAGGGGAAAGCTCAGGTTTATATCCCTGAGCTCCCAAACTAATTTATCTACATTTGGCAGGGCATGTCCTGCAGAACACCACAATCTGTATGGGGAGGTGGAAGATCTCCTGCAGAAATATATCTCTTGCCGGAATCGTCCTGCCAAACCCTAACACTGGGGACCCCTGGTGT